AGAGCATAGTCATGCTTTCTTGGGCTTGTTGTCCGTCACCTCTATCAGGTCTGTTGAAGGGTTTGTTGAATCTGGGATTGAAGGAACTCCTCTTCCCAGTAGGCTTAGATGAGCCCCAGGTGTTTTTTCGCTGGTCCTGGCGAAAACGCGGGAGCGAAAGGAATGAGAATTCCATCTGTCCACAATGCGTAGGTTCCGGGGCGATGCTTTTTTCTTGTCTCGCATTTCCACAAGTATCTTGTCCAAAGCCTCTCTGAAGAGGCGATTTCCCTGGAAAGGATACGAGGTGACCGTCATTTTAGACTGAAAGTCCGCTTGCCATGCTCTCAGCCAGAGAAGCCTTCTGGTCACTATCGTGAAAGCCAGCGCCCTAGATGCAAACGTTAGAATGTCCAGGGTGGCATCAGCAGTGAAGGACGCTCCTTTAAGAATGCATGTAGCACCTTCCAACAGGCCTGTGTTGTTTTCCGGTAACATCTGAATGAGCTTTCTTATCCAGACGATGGAAGCCCTGGAAGCGATTGACGCCGTAGCCGCCGCCTTGACAATCATGGCAATGGACTCATGTAATCTCTTCTGTGTGGCATCAGCCTTTTTATCGATAGGATCATGTATGGAACCGTGTTCAACCTCCGAGACTAGACCTGTTGACTGGTCAATGGACTCATGTAATCTCTTCTGTGTGGCATCAGCCTTTTTATCGATAGGATCACATATGGAACCGTGTTCAACCTCCGAGACTAGACCTGTTGACTGGATAGCCGCCACGGGACCGTCCACTGGTGGAGCCTGAAACAGTTCATTGGCATAACTGGGCAAGGCATACATCTTTTTTACAAAACCTGGGAACTGCTTTTTAGCAGTTGGCTTATCCCATGCCACCCTTAGCTGACATTCAAAATAGTCCGGAAAGGTATAGACATTTTCCACATACTCCTCGGGAGGGAAGAACTCCTGGTCACCTCTAGATCTGGATTTTAGCTTAGATCGTGAAGAGGCCAAGTCCTCGGAGGGAGGAGTTTCCTGTATCTTTAAAGCCTTCATGGCTTTGGACAAGAAATAGTGGTAGTCCTCCGCTTTAAAAAAGCGGCTAGGCTGTTGAGGCATCTTAAGTTCCTCCACCTCCTCATCTGAGAGGAATTCCCCTTCCTCTCTGTCCTCCTGCATGGACCCAACAGACTCCTCATCTTCCCATTGCTCCTCTCTAGAACCCCTACTGGGTCTTGGGGGTGCTTTTTGGGCAGCCTTAGTGGGCCAAGCTGAAGGAGGCTGGGATGGTTGTCCTGGGAAGGGCCCTTGTCCAGGGGATACCCGCCCTCTCACGGAAGGTGGAGATGCCCTCCTGCATGGCCTGGCGAAAGGCTAGCATCAGATCTGCTGGGTTGATTAAGGCCCCTTGGAAGGTGTTACCCTCCCTGCGATCTAACTCTGGGCCCAGGGAAAGCGAATCGTCCATTCCAGCGTCGCGCTGCAGAGGCCTGGAGATGGCGTCCGAATTCGGCTCAGCTTCTTCAAGATGGCCGCCAATGTTCGCCCGCCCAGAATTAGCGGGCCCTGCTTCTTCTTGCGGCCAGCGGCGCTTGAGTGCACGCTGCGCCACCGATGCCACCTCTGCGGTGAGCGTTGTTACCTCGTCCCCCGATGAAAAGTCTTCTGAGTGCTCGGTAGCCATCGCAAAGGCCTAACGAGCACACGGGAGGGACTTGCCTCTCGACGTCTTCTGGCTCCAAGCAAGAGCAAGAAGGGGAAAAGTAGAGTAAAAAGTAGGGGGAGAGAGGCAGAGAGAGAGAGAAAGAGAGAGAGAGAGACTCTGAGGAATAAAAGAGAGCAATATAGAGCAAAATAGAAAGAACTGAAAGAGAAAGTAGATGGACAGAATTGCAGAGCTCTGTCCCTAGCTGCTACTCCCTAAGAGGCAGGAATAGAACTGAGGGGCAGAGCTATTCCCAAGGCGCCAACAGGAAGGAGAAAAAAGTATTTCCTGTCTCCCTAAAGGAACGATGGGAATAACCCATGGAGATGTCCTCCACCTTAGTGGGAGAATGCCAGGTTTACAGCTGTCCTCAGAGCAAACAGTGGTGACTGTGAGCTGCTCAGGCAGTGGGGGTCTTCCTCCCTCCTCCCCACAGTGACTGGTAAATGTGGGAATGTGCCTCTCTCCCTCTCCCCTGTGACAGGTGCTGGTTAACCAAGTTGTCGTAATAAAAAAGTGCCAGATAACATAGCTTTTACTTATCTTATTTAGCAGTTTTCAAAGCAGACACAGAAGCACTTTTCTACCACTTTAACAGAAATTAGGTTTCAAAATGTAACACCCACTGGCATTCTTTTTGTGGTACAATGAAAAATACCTACTTATCCAAGCACATTCAAACAAACTACTTACATTAATGTTGGATATTGGACAGTCCTTTTTGGCAATTTTAAAGGCAAAGAAAGATACTTGAAAGATATCTGGCCTCCGTTCTTGATCTGGTTCAAGCATGTACCCTGTAGATTAAAGGTAAAGGTAAAGGTTCCCTTGCTCGAAAGCCAGTCGAATCCGACTCTAGGGTTGCGGTGCTCATCTCCGTTTCCAAGCCGAAGAGCCAGCGCTGTCCGAAGACGTTTCCGTGGTCATGTGGCCGGCATGACTAAACACCGAGGCGCACGGAACGCTGTTACCTTCCCACCGAAGTGGTCCCTATTTATCTACTTGCAATGTCTTGCTTTCGAACTGCTAGGTTGGCAGGAGCTGGAACTAGAGACAGGAGCTCACCCTGTCTTGCGGCACCCGGGTCTTGAACCGCTGAACTACTGACCTTCCGCAGCCTGCAGTTCAGCGTCTTAACCACTTGAGCCACCGCAGCTCCACCCTGTAGATTAGGACAGATTAAAGTTTAATTAGTGAGGAAACTGGATCTCTGCCTCTAGAGCTACGCTTTACAAGCTCAACAACATGATTTACAAACTGAGCAGTTAGCTACTGAAGACCAGCTTGCACTGACAGGTCATGCATCCAAGGATGGGAACAGGCATAGGTGTGACGGGGTTCATCCTTTTCTAATCACAGGTATGCACAGGTTATAGTAGTAACCAAGAGTACTTTGAACCAGCTTCATTTGACAAGCAGACCAGACCCAGTTATTCACATTTTCATGACTCCAAAGCTAGATTGCTCCAGTGTCCTGTGGAGCTACAAATGCTCAGCTTTATACCGTATCAGAAATCAGCAGACTGCCATTTTATGGAGGCAGGTAACTGAAAGCATATTATAACAGTGCTCCAGCATCTAGACCAGGCACAGTTTAAGATAGTGGTTTTTAACCTGTGGAACCCTAAAACTGATTGTGTCCCAAATAGTTTGTAGCGCCATCCTCAGCAGAGTTACACCCATCTATGATCATTAACTTCTGCTTAGGATGACCCAGTCTATGTTGCATCTGTCTCTCCAACATGGCTCTTGGCTAGCCCATGTCACAGTGGCACACAGCTGCATTTTCCAATTGCTACATTACAGGTAAGACAGCCTCTTCCTCCAGGGATTTCCAAAGTTCAAGTCTTTCAGCACTTCTGAAAAATGTATAAAGCTTCCTGTGTTTTCACTAAGGTTTCAAATACGTCAGCATGCGTTTTGATATGACTGGTATTATGTTGTACATTTCTTTTGGCAGAAACAAGAAGGGGAAAAAACTGAACCTAAAAATAAACTCCAGAACCAAACAAAGGTTAGTGAAAAGGAGGGCCAATATTAAAACCTTTCCATAAAAAGAAGTACATGTATTTATTGATAATAACAAATTTAAAACATAAATAGGGGCCCAATTACAACCAATGTATATAAAACATAACAATATCAAGGGCTTAAAAAGTTGACCTTACGCGTTTCGGCCAAATAGGCCTTCCTCAGAGATCATACATATGTGGCAAGATGGTTAATATTATATTCACATAGTGATTGCACTTTAAAGGCCTTATATGCATATTTATCCTGTGCCTGGTGATTTTACTTCTGGACAATTTATTTTTTACAGCAATTTACTTTATGGTCCTTATTGAATCTATACTTTGTATAGATTTCTGATTGTGTTTATGTGAATATAATTATTAACCATCTTGCCACATATGTATGACCTCTGAGGAAGGCCTATTTGGCTGAAACGTGTAAGGTCAACTTTTTAAGCCCTTGATATTGTTATGTTTTATATACATTGGTTGTAATTGGGGCCCTATATATGTTTTAAATTTGTTATTATCAATAAATACATGTACTTCTTTTTATGGAAAGGTTTTAATATTGGCCCTCCTTTTCACTAACTTTTGTTTGGTTCTGGAGTACATTTCTTTTGGACCATTACCACCCTGATCTTTAATGATGAGCAAGCTAGAAATTCAAACAAAATTCCCATACCACAAAAGATAAGACGGTAGAGATGTGGGAGACTTAAAAGAACACCTCTTTGATTCACAGAAGCTCTGATTGTTGCCAGCAAAACCCCTCTAATACATTCTTCTGAAATTATGACTTTATCTGTATTTAACATCATGTTTGCCCATATAAAATGGGAGAAATATGGCTGCAAACATAACAGACAATGTAGGACTTGACTAGTAAAATGAAATCCTGAATATGGACCCAATCTTTATCAAATAAAAACATTATTAAAAACTGTTCCACTTTTTGGAGTAAGAGCTAACAAGCATGTGGAACAAGACAACTTCTAAAAACAAGTTGTGAATATACTTTGATTCATAGCTTCTCTAAAGAAAAATAAGTTCTAAGTTGTCTTTTGCATTTCAGCACCAATGCAGCACACACAATGTTAAACGAAAGCAACTATTTCTGTTATGCAACATGCTACTTTCCCCATCTGACCATTTAAATGTATGATTTAAGCCAAACAAAACTAAGGCGTGGATCCCACAAAGGATTTCCATGGGGAGAAGGAGAGGGCAATTTTCACAACTCCCTTCTCCAGCCACAGACCTACGACTCCCCCTTCATTCTGCTCATGGGGGTTCCCTTTTCTCCTTTAGCAACATGAGGGGGGGAGAAGAAAAGAGAAAGCTGCATTTCAGACACAAACCCCCTCTGTCCATGGAAGTTCTATGGACACAATCAAAAATTCTCCTTCCACCAATGTTGATTTCTAAATGTTGAATTCATTCCAATAATGCTCTGGGGTCTTGTCAAAACTGAAGACATTACAAAGCAATGGCATGTAGAAATACCCTAAGTTCCACGCAACAAAACTTTCAGTCACCAAGGTAATTGCCTTCAGCATTCTACATCAGAAATGTTTCACTGAAAATTTTAATTTGAAAATTGTTCCAGGTACTTACTTATTAAACAATGTATACTGTGAGAGTAACGGGAATTGTCTGGAATGGTAACGCTTCCATCACAAATGGCAACCTGACTCTCACCAAAGGGAAGTACGAAAAAGCAAAGCTTATAGAGCAAGCAACCAAGGGCCTATAAAGCAAAACACAGGAAAAGTTGGCAGGAGAACCACCAACAAGACTACAAAAATTCTTTTGACCTCAGCTTCCTAAGTGCAAAGGATGTCTGAAACTTAGTTAAATTATCCTTGAAATATTATCACAGGGACCCAACTGATTAAGGAAAACTGCTTCAAAGCCTAAATCAAAGTAGCAGCAAAACTGCTGTAGCTCCCCCCCCCCCAATCCAATCACCACATTTATGCAAATAGTATTATTACACTGCTGTTACTATACCTCAAACATCAGTAATCTGTTGTGCCTACATTCCATGGGGGGAGCAATGTTAATAATTAATAATTTGGACAAGATAATCCAAAAAAGTGGAGTCTTACACTCTGTTGTTTAAGTTGCTAAGATTACCTATATTTTTCAGAAATGGGTTAAAGAAATATTGCCTATAAGCATTCATGTACACCAGCAATTTGGTCTGAAGGAAATGAAGTCTTTATGAAGTTTGTGTTTCTTTAATATGGACACATAATGAGCACTTATTAATAAAGGTAATTTGAGTTTAAAAAGTCATTTATTCAGGCACTTTTACACATGATTTGTCCAAACAACTAAATTCTTCAGAAGCAGACAGGACACCTACAAGAAAATCTGCACATGTTGACTTTAGTCCCCTTCCTCCAACCCCAGCCCTCAAACACATTAATTCCTTTTCACTTGTCAAATTATAGTTTTCCTTACCCAGATATCTGCCTTGGTAGTAATTGGCTTCCCTCCATAAAGGTTGATCATTTCAGGAGCTCTGTATGATAATGTAGTATACCTATGAACAAATTACATTGAAAGATAAATTTACCAAATTGTTCTACACTAGTACTAAGTCAAAGTAGTAAGTCTAATTTGCATATCATGCAATGAGAAGTTCTATTAAGGCATGAGGCATGTTATACTTGGTGATATTATTCTGAAGTGGAGACCCTTAAAATGTTTTTTAAAATGAACTCATAAGCAGGCAATAATTTTTTTTAGGTTTCTACTTGCCTTGTTTTCAGTCCTTTACACTTTTGCTACCACATTTTCAAATAGATCTCTGCAATCTTGAGGGCTAGAAGCTTTTGAACACAAATGAAGCTGCCTTATACTGAATCAGATTATTGGTCCGTGAAGGTCAGTGCTCAGACTGGCAATGGCTCTCCAGGATCTCAGGCAGAGCTCTTTCACATCATCTGCTGCTGAATCTCCTGTACCTGGAGATGCCAGGGTTTGAACCTGGGACCTTCTGCATGCCAAGCAGATGCTCTATGACTGAGCCACAGCACCTTCCTTTAGAGGTTTCTTGTAGTCCAAATGGTACTTAAGCATGAAGTAATCTATTATTTTCTATTAAGTTATTAGGTATCTTTACAAGCTTTAATTTTCTTTACCTTTTTTGTGATCAACAGACTGGTTGGATGGCATACGGATAAGGCATTGCATTTAACTTTGTTCTTGGACTGGGCCCATGTAACAAGTGAATATAAAGAGAGCTACCAAACCAAATACATACATGGGGTATCAGACAATCAGAAAACCAATGAAGTTTCCTACTTGCAAAAAGAGATCCTCATATACTAACAAACACTTGAGAAAACACTGCAATACCCTGCTTCAACTTAATACATTTTCCACAAAATAATGTTAACTTACTTCTTAATTTCTTCTTCAACTACATTAACGCCATCTTTCTGAGGATTAAGGAATTTATTAGTAGCGCTGCCAAAGTCACAAAGGACGTAATTTCCACTGTCATTTAACAAAAGGTTCTCGACCTTAGGAAGAAAGAACACAATTTAAAAATACAATTTGTCCTGATTTTCAGGACGAGTCTCTTCCCACTTTCTTAACCCTCAACTTTACCAATGGCATTTACCTAACTTATGCATGCTTCAGCAGCAATACTGATCAATGAAAGCACAATAATCATTCTATGCCGCTGTTACATGCAAATAAACTTTCTGCCACATGCTTAGTCACTACAGTGTGGTATACTGACATGTTGTCCACTGTGCGATGTCATGATCAGATTTATAGATGCAAACCTGTCAATCCTCCTGCCCCCTCTTCAAACCCTCTCCCATGAAAAAGCACAATTATTCTATGTCTTTTCATCTGAATCAGGAGAGGCAGTAGATGTTCTTAGCTAGACTTTAGGGGTGGTAATGGCCATCAGTGAATTGAAGCCATGTTGATAATACTGTCACAGACTAAGGAGCCAGCCATTTCTGGATAGGTTTGCACTGACCCTGAAAGAGCCACCAAGATGTGTTTCATATCACAGTCACAAGCTAATTAACTGTTTAAAAGGAGGACATTGGTATCTCTACCTCATTCAAACTTAGCATCATGATGCATAACACCACAGTACTTAAGTGGCTTTTATTTCAGTCCAGTCATCACTAGCCAAGAACACCAAAAATTTCACTCAGAACTCCAAGTTCTCACCTTTAGATCTCGATGAACAATGGGAGTTTTGCATTGATGCAACCTGGCAACTGCTTCACAGGTATCACAAAATATCCTTAGCACTTCTGCCTCAGTAAAGCCTGTCTGCAATCTCTGGTTCATCTGATTCACCACCTGCCCCGCTATGAAAAGAAGATCACAATTACAATAATGTAAACATTTTTTCACAGAATACAAAGCGACTTTACCAAAATCAACACACTAGTCAAATGCTAAAACGTTAACAATTCTGAGCAATTAGAAACACTACTTAGGCAAAAAGGTAGTTTTTGTTCTTGTCGTCTAAGAATACAGGAATCAGTAAATGTCATGTGCATGCTTAACTCACTGCGATGAAAACTTATAAATGCATGTTTACAGCTGGATTGTATCCTCAAAGTTTAGTACTTAGGCTGAAATTTTAAGCCGTTTTCAAATTGAGTGCACTTTTGTTTCCAAGTACTGCTTAGACAACATAAAAACTCTCTAATTATAAACACCCACCCAGGAAAGAGGTTCATTTGGCAAGCATTATTTAGCCATGAGGAATGCTATTAAAAAACTCTGAATACATCAAGATATGCATTAAGCTTAAAAGGGAGTCTTCAAAAAACTGAAGCTTGCCACCTTACAGATGAACTGCACTATTTTTACATTCTAACTGCAACAAGCCTGCAGTGGCAATGACATGCTACACATGTTGAAATTCATGCAACTTAAAGGACAAGGGTGCCCTAATAATTAAAGGCTATCAACACTAAGAAAGGCTTTAAGCCATGGTTTATTGTGATGGGACAAGCCTGAGTATTATTTAGGATAATGTATTTCCTCCCTTCTTCACATGCTGCTATAAAAGTCAGTCCTTCTACAGAAAACTATATTTTATCTCAATCACAAACCAGTTTGTTCACTGCCCTCCAAATCAGGATTCCAAGCCAAGCTTCAATAGTGTCTCACTTAGAAGCCAGATTACTAATACAAAGGTCAAGCACAAGATGTCAAAAAATATTTCTGCAAGTGGAAGAACCCTTCCACAAATGAAAGGGCACCTTTGAATCCAACCAAGCATGTTTTTGGCAACAGTACTAGATCTTTTACATTCAGTGTGACAGAAGTTTACTTACCACGACAGTACTCCATTAAGATGAGCACCTCCCACACGTTATCACTAACAGAGTTAACAGCACATTCCAAATACCCCACAATGTTCTTGTGCCCAGACAGCTCTTTCTGAAAAAGGAAACACATACGTAAGGGGGAAAATTCCCCAAGGTCTCCGAATAGTGCTGCAAAAAAATCAGGGGATAAGGATTATTCTGAACTACCAGTGACAGACATTAGTCTAGCATGGCACTCCTAAAGCAATAGAAGTAATCATTTCTCATGATCTTGATTACATAGATTTTTAGTCTTCAAAAACTGACATGAAACTCTGAGATGAGTTATGCCATCATTTTCATAACATCCCATTTAAATGACTGCCAATAAAACTGCATTGTGGGAGCAATGCCTGTGAGAACACTGATGATCGACAATACAACGCGAGGCTTATTCCCCACCATCAGGGAGCCCTTTCACAGCACCCAGCTCTCAAGACAAGTATTTGAACAGCAACAGAACCCATTCGGATGGAATCATGAATCACTGAGCTGGCTTAGAGCCCCAAAGTACTTGCTTTTCTTTTCCAGAGATACTCCCTTTCAAACATTTAAAAGGTTATGAAAGTGTAAACACTCATAACTGCCTCCCAAGCCCATCTGAGTCTTTTAAAAGTAACCTCAGGGGATGCAAACTCAGCATGACTTTGATCACAAACTAAGGAATGGTTATCTAACAGGGCTCACATCTAAAAATAATGTTACTTACCATTATTGTTATTTCTCTTTTGCAAATATTGAGGTCAGTCACATTATTTACATACATTCTTTTCAATGCACACCGGACTCCACCATGTGTGCGCACAAGCAGGACAGTGGAAAATCCACCTACAAAACAGAAAAGATAGAACAAGCTCATTTAATAAATTAAAGTAGCTTTTTCTACTCTATTTTAAAGCATATTACATTCATTAATATTGTTCTAATTGTCGTTAAGCTTTTAGCAATATGAATTACAACCCCTCAAGACGTCACACGGGGAAGAAAGGGACAAAGGATTATCCTACTTTCCTTCACCCCCTCTCACAATGGACTTATTACTGAAAAGGGAACTGAGCTCAGAAACGTCTCACTGTGCAAAATCTTGTTGTTACAAAGAACACAAATAATGGCCAACTAGAAGATAATCTAAGTTTGTAAACCTATGATAACTGACCCCCCACACACACACAAAAGAAGAGTTCAGCAAAATTGCATGAATACTGTAGAATAAAATGTTGAACAGTTGACAGCTCAGAAAAGCACAAGTTGGCTGGAACAAGGACAAGAGCCTGAGGTCTCTTCCCCCTACCCTGCCTGCCTTCTCTCATCACTATTTCTCCTCCTACTTCAGACACAACTGATGGCAGCATAACCCACAATCACCAAAGCGAGCCCAGAAACCTGTGTCCTGTTCCTGTGGCCCCAAGTAAGCCAGGCTGGCAAATCCAGGACTAGCCCAGGATGTGATGTGTTGTACTTTTCCTACTTAAAAGCAGGGCAAAAAATACTTAAAATACAGCTTCAGGATAGCCAGAGAACAAATAAACTAACCCAAAACCACACTTATTTCCACACAGTGATGGTCATCCTTTCACAATAGACAGCTGATAAAGAAAAACTTCACAGAAAACTCACTTTGGAACCTTGTAGTCACGGGCATACATTCTCATTATATGGAAACTACCTCTAAACTTAGAACGTTGACGAGGGACATGAACCCTACCCCTGAACCAAAGCAATGGTCTTCTTTGGGTCATTCCTCCTGGAGTGACCCAGTAACTCCATTATTCAACAAGTTTTTATCTGAAACCAGAGAATCAGCCTTTACATAATAACTACTGGTAACACCGAAGTTTGCATCTGCTGGACTCACAGGATGAATTTCAGCAGTTTGTAATGAGCACCTGCAATGCAAAGTTAAGTGCAACACCCTCGGGAATCATCTTTGGATTGGATGGTGCATCATTTTCACCTTACCTTCTGTACAATGACAATGACCCAAGCAGTGGGTCAAGGGGGAAAAAAGATTATCCTCAAAACTTTCTTCCCTCCAGCAACCTGTCCTGTTTCAGTGACTGCAGCACCTGGTACATTCCTAAAGACAACATGAACCAGATTTCCCAGCATGCACTGGATGCCTCAGTTGCTGAGGATACTGGAAGAGTCACCCAAAGGAAGGGAGATCTTCCCTTGCTCTCTTAAACATCATGCAGTGGCACATCGGGAGACGGAGAGAAATTGTTGTGTAGTTGCCTCAGTGATGTGCTATTCAGCTTACGCATGCACAAAATGAGTAGCAAATGAGTAACAGACAAAAGATTATGAGCAGACAGACTCACAAAGCAATTCTTATAGGCTCTCAACAACAATGGTCATAAGTGGAAAGTAATTTCTTATTTGAGTGCAGGCAGGCTCATGCAATGACACACACAGTGCCAGCTAGGATATGAATGCATGAAGCTGCCTTATATTAAGTCAGACCACTGCTCCATCAAGGTCAGTGTAAACTCTAACTGGCACTCACACTCTCAGATGGAGGTCTTTCATAGCACCTGACCCTTTAGCTGGGTTCTGAACCGAGGCCTTCTGCATGCAAAGCAAATGCTGTACTACTGAACCACAGTCCCTACCTCCAACCTAGGACAAAGGTTATCTGTTCTCAATTATGCCACAACTCTAAGGTATGAAATACTGCCACTAACTGCAAAGCTATATAGCCCCTGACTTTCCTTAGTGTAGTACTGCTTTCAGCCTACTTACCATTCACAAGCATAGACAACAGCCACAAACCGCCGCCACCGGTGCCATGTAAGGCACCTGTGACTAAGGCCAATTATTTTTAACTAGGAAAAAGGCCCGTTGTGGAAATAAATACAACAAGCTCTAAAAAGAGGCTCTGGGCAGGTGCCCCAGCCTTGGACACTCAGTATCAATTTGCTGTGGCGACCTCAGCAGGATATAATGACACTGAGTCCACCATTTTGTCCAAAGAAACTGATCTCTGCTACCTAAAGAACAGTTGTAATTTTGAGTTATCTCCAGCCCTCACCTGGAGATTGGCAACGATGGTTCCCCAGAAGGGAATGGTTGGTTTGGAGGATGGAGTCTATGGCTTTGTACCTGTCCGAGGTCCCACGCCTCCTGAAACCTCACCCTCTCCAGGCTCCATCCCTCACATCTCCAGGAATTTCCCACCTGGAGTTGGCAATCCTATCTCCTGCCCAGGCAATCACCAACCTACCTTTATTTCCCCCTCACTCTTCAGCTTTCCACACCCCAAAAAAACCTGCAGCCTCTCCCATGCTCTGAAGCCCTGACTGCTACATCACATTGGCTGTCATATGGGGGCCACCTCAGCAGCATATAAGGATAGAGCCCAACATTTTCTCCAGGGGAACTGATCTCTGCCATCTGGAAAGCAGTTGTAATTCTGAGTGATCTCCAGCCCTCACCTGGAGATTGGACACATTTTACCTCAGAACAGCAAACTGTTTAGAATGTTAGAGGCAAAAGCTAATCAAGCTGCATATGCAAACGACCTCTGTGTTCCAAGGTAAAGGCCAATGAGGCTGCATATACAAATAACCTCTGTGTTCTGACTGGCTATGGGGGGGAGAGGAATAGCAAACTGTTTAGAATGTTGGAGGCGAGACTCAAGCAATGCAGCCAGTGGATAGGGACAGATTCTGAGTGACACACCAGGGCGCCAACCAATTCCGGAGTGTGTGGAATGTTCTAGAGAAGTGCCACCACCATTCAGCTTTTATATATAAGGGAGATGGGGGCTGTATCTTGCTCTCCACCCCCCCCCCCAAAGATTTACAAATCCTGGGGCATTCAAAATTGGGAAGGGGCAAATGCAGGGCATTAAGGATTTTAGGCAGCTCCTTCCTCCCCATTGCAATAGTTTCTGACCGTCAGAGAAGGAGAGTTTTGGTATTATTCATACAGGACAAAACTGTACACACATACTTGATAAGTCCTAATTATACTCTATTGTTTTCACCATTATAAAGGTTAATTTAATACCAAGTATGCTGCTAGCTATTGTGAAGCCACACAAATTTTTACTACAAAGTTTCACAATTTCCGTTCTTTGTTTGGCAAAATTATATATGTACTAACAGCTTAACTATGTTACATTTTTCCCTGGTACATTCCCAGGCAGAGCCAGAGATGTGGTATGGGAGTCCTGTGCTTCGAGCCATGCAAGAATGCAATTCAATCAAAACCATGGAGCATGGGGAGAAGGGGCTTAAATCTTCCCCCTGCTTATTTTCCCAACCTGAGACAAATCTAGGGAACTATTATTTGCTCTGTTGAAGAAACTGACATGTAGCCATAACAGTAACAGTCTTCCAAAGGCACAAATAAGAGCTTCCTAGGGCCATTTCAGGCTGGGGAAAAGGTGACGGGAAAAGGTCTTAGCCCCTTCTTCTCCAACAAAGCAATTCCATTCCCAATTGGGCCTGTGAAATTCTCACACATCACCAAACCTTTTACAAATGTTTGCATGCAATCTGCATGCACCTAACTAAATTAATGATTCATATTCCTTAATTTCAGGGAAGACTACACCTCGGTGAACAACAGAAAAGAACAAGAGTCCAGTAGCACCTTAAAGACTAACAAAATGTGTGGCAGGGTATAAGCTTTCATAAGTCACTGCTCACTTCTTCAGATAGTTAGTCTTTGTTAGTCTTTAAGGAGTTTCAGATCTTCATTAGGTGACACTGGATCAGGGTCCCCTACAGAGTTATCAGGGGAAGGGTCTGATGGTAAATCTGAGCCTGGATCAGAAGGGGAGTCAGCCCTCAAAGCCTATTCTTCCTCAGAATCCAAGTGCCGCATAAGGGGGTAAAGAGAGACTGCAGGAGGATACCAAACTGACAGACCCGCAGCATCACGGTTCCGTGAAAAGAGGTGCCTCGGTTCTGGAGGTGCTCTGCGCAATTGAGGTCTAGGAGAAGGAAAATAGTAAGGGTAGCCTTGCCAAGGAGGCAGAGGCATAGAACTCCGCCACAGTGCTGAGGAGGGTGGTTCCGATGGTCAACTAGCCGCTGGAACTGCCAATGTGCCCTGGCCAGGATCTATTTCCCCTTCTGAGAATGAATGAGTCACGGAGGCATGTGGAGAAGATGCTCATGACCAACGTTCCCTCTAAGCTGTCGAGTCTTGTGAGCAAAAATTCTACTTTGTGAGCTACTGGCATTAAAGTTGTGAGCGAGCGATTTGGCTACTGCATAAATTAGTCTGCTCTGGAGCCCTCCTTCCTGAGCTAAGACAAAAATGTGTGTGCTGGAGGCTAAAAATCTGTGAGCTAGCTCACACTAACTCAGCTTAGAGGGAACACTGCTCATGACTCCCCTCTGTTCAATTGGAACAGAAGCTGATTTGGCTGGAACCAAAGAGTTAATTGATTCCGGGAGCGTGTTGCAACTGGACCAATGCTTCTCCTTATGTTTAGATTTGGAACGGCCTTTCTCAGGCAGGGGTTCCGATATGCAGCATTCAGCTGAAAAAAACGGGCAATAAGACCCGACACTTCGGTTCTGTCTCCAGAAACAACGGAACCAAGATGCCTGATGGGGGGCTCGCAAATTAGTCAGTTCTAACTGGTGATTTCGAAGGCAAGGACTGACTGTGCTCTGCGAGGGCAGATGTTTTCCCTGCTGGGTATCAGAGCATGAGAGCACTTTCTCCCATGAGCTTGCCTTTAAGCACGTTGCTTAATCTGAGTGGGCTTTCGGGGTAAACTGGAGGCAGATCTTGCACGTGGGTGTATTATGGGCCTTGAGAAAAAGCAGGGAAGGTGTTCATCTGAACAGATCATTTTTGTACC